GAAAGGATATAGCAACAATATTGCAACTTTAATAAAACAAATGCTAGTGCAGAATTTGACTATACTGATACAAGAACTGTTGTTTTATTTGTGAGTAAAAATAATATACAGTAGTTTTCAGCCACAAATGATCAAGGTTCAAGGTTCTTTTTTGTCATTCACATCACATGTGGTACATGGGGTAGAACAAAATTGTGTACTCAAGGTCCCAGTTATACCTACAAAAAGCAAAAATGTAAAGAATAAAAAAGAAAACAGTATACAAGGATCTAAGATACATGCTAAACAATAACAATATAATATAATACTGTGTATTAAACAGCAGCCTGAACACGAGTCTGTTGTGAGCAGATGGGTATGAATACAGCAGCTTATGGGTAAGAAATCAGCAGCACTGATAAAGTGTCAAATCTCCAATTAAAGTAGCATTACTGTGATTTTCCTATCCTGATGCATGCTCAATTTTCCTAGTTAGGGATTTGAGTCCTACAGCTTCAGGGTAGAAGCTGTTCCTCAGTCTAGTGGTTCTCCAACTTAATGCTCCTCAATCTCCTGCCTGAGGGGAGTGGGGCAAAAAGTGTGTGTGCTGGGTGAGGGGCTCCTTCATGATGCAGGTGGCCCTCTTCCTGCATCTGGAGGTGTAGATGTCTGTGATGGTGGAGAGGCTGACTCCAACAGATTTCTGTGCAGCCTTCACCACTCTCTGCAAAGCTTTTCTTTCTGCAGCTGTGCAGCCTCCATGCCACACGTTGATGCTGGAGCACAGGATGCTCTCCACTACACACCTGTAGAAGGAGGCGAGGACTGAGCTTCCCAGACCAGCTCACCTCAGAGTCTCTGATGAGCTTTGTTGATCAAGCTGGTAGTGTTGTTGCTCCAGGTGGGGTTGGTATTCAAAGTCAAGTCAAAGTCAAAGTCACTTTATTGTCAAAAACTGCAATATGTACAGGACATACACAGGATTGAAATTACATTTCTCTCAGACCGCGGTGCAACAATAACCATTTAACATTAAAATATTTATTAAACATAAGCATAAAATGAAGTAATAAAAGCATGATACTGTCTTAAATTGTACTATAGCGGTATAAAAATATTTTTTAAAAAGTATATCTATAAAATAAAATGAAATGAAATGAAGGTCCTGACATTGATATTTGTAGTGAATGGCAAAGCAGCAGGTGCACACCCAAGTACTTGTAGCTGGAGACCACTTCCACCGCAGATCCTCCTATGTGTAGGGGTTGGGTGGGGGGCAGTAGGTGTGTTTGCTCCTTCTAAATTCCACAGTCATCTCCTTCGTCTTCTTCACATTGATGTGAAGGTTGTTCTTCCTGCACCAGCTCTCCAGGTGTTCCACCTTCTGCCTGTAGCTGGGCTCACCATTGTTTGTGATGCATCCAATCACAGCTGTATCGTCTGCAAACTTTACAATATGACAGCCTGGAAAGGTAGCTGCACAATCATGTGAGCAGAGTGAACAGGAGGGGGCTCAACACACAGCCCTGGGGGGAGCCAGTGCTGAGGATTATGATGGAGGAGGAGAAGTTGTGGATCCTCACAGACTACGAATAATAACCAAGAATGAACTACTAGAAAACGTGGCACATACTGTATATCCCAATGTTTATGACCAATTGTGAACTATGAGCTGTGAGTACAGACTTTGATTTGCACACAAATCTTTAAAACAACAGACTAATCTAATTGTAACATGTTCATACCATTTAAAAACTATGGCAGATTTCTAGTGTAAAACTGATTCTGCGGCAGAGAGAGCTGCACTGAGGACTGACAGTGGCATCATTTTAGGATGCCTTCTGGCAGCACGAGGAGCCATGTGTGCAGGAGCTTAGGGTTGATAAGGTCACCAAGACAGGATTGGTATTGGGTGCAGTGGACGGTGGGTGGTAGAGTGTGAGAGTGTGCGAGGCGGAGGTGTCAACAAACTGAAGAAGCTTCCAGTGGCCTGAATGCTCGACTGGCTCACTCTGGCTGAGTTGATCCCAGTGTGACAGGAGCACCACTATCTGTCACATTATCATTCAGAGACATGGACCTGAATGTCACTTCCACTCTGCTCTGAGCCCATGACACACGAAGAGCAGGATTTGTCAACATCACTCTAGTTTTCCTCTAGTTTGTAAGAAAAAAAAAAAAGGAGATCCAAAAGGAGACTTTCCAGGTTTGTTAATTTTCTGTTGTTGGACCAATTCTGGAAGAAATATTTAGCATAAAGTGTGGGTATTTGGGGTGGGAGGTAATAAACAAAAATGGACACTAACAATCATAATGGTTTAACTTTAACAATACAAATGTAATTTGCTTTTACAATATAAAAACATATGAACTGAAAGTAAACCCTTTTAAGGGAATTTGCATTCAAATTAAAAGCAGCATGAACTATTGTATAGGGCCAACATAGTTTGGCCACATCTATTAATGACTGAAATCAGAGGGTTTCAGTCACAGTTTGGGCTAGACTCTTCATCCTAATGCTTCAAAGGAATGCATGAAGTAAAGCCTTCACAATTTCCTCAATATAGAAATTATTTAATTAACCGCGTTTCAATCCAAACTGGATTTAACTCAAATAAATTTTGACAGTAGTGAACATAACTATAAAAAAACCTCCCTTATTCAATTCAATTCAGTTTATTTATATAGTGCCAAGTCACAACAGAAGTCATCTCAGGGCACTGAACAAAAACATTTATAAAAAAAAAAAAAAAATTAATAACATTAAATTATCTGAAGAGCAGACTGTTTTGAGTCTAACTTCATCACAGACTCTCATCTTGAGTGAGCATAAAAACAACAATAGAAAGGAAAAACTCCCTCACAAGGAAGAAACCTTTAGCAGAACCAGGCTCAGGACAAGAGGTCATCTGCTTTGACTGACTGGGTTTGAGAGGAACAGGAAGGAGGAACAGATACACAATGGCAGGTCAATAATCACATGTTAAGACAGAAATAATATCAAATGAAAACTATTCATTTTGTAACAATTCATTTTAAGAAATGAGGTCAATTTGTCCTCCAGTAGCCTAAGTCTATGGCAGCATAACAAGCCAACCCTAACTATAGGATTTATCAAAAAGGAAAGTCTTAAGCCCAGTCTTAAAACTGGACAATGTGTCAGCCTTATGGACAGAAACTGGAAGTTGGTTCCACAAGAGAGGAGTCTGATAACTGGAAGATCTGCCTCTGATTCTGCTAATGGAAACTCTAGGAACTGCAAATAAGCCTGCAGTCTGAGAGCGAAGTGCTCTGTTAAGAAAAAATGGGACAATAAGATCTGTAATATAAGATGGAGCTAGGCTGTTGAGAGCTTTGTAGGTTAGAAGTAAGATTTTGAATTCAGTTCTGAATTTGACAGGGAGCCAATGGAGAGAAGTTAAAACTGGAGAGATATGATCTCCCACTAACTCCATTTAAGACCCTGGCAGCAGCATTTTGGATCAACTGAAGACTTTTTAAAGAAGTATTTGGACACCCAGATAACAAACCATTGCAATAGTCCAGTCTAGATGCAATAAAAGAAAGAACCAATTTTTCAGTAAAATTTCTGCATCCTTACTGAGATACTGTAACAAGTTCCAGGCGGGGCGAAGTGCCAGTTAAATTAAAAATGTACTGAATCCATGACATGCAGAAAAACATACATTATTCACAAAAATCTGTCATTGTTACCAATAATTTTTCTAATTGTGTGTCATGTGAAAAAGCAAATCAAAATGATCAAAGGTATTTACAGTAAAAATGGGTTTGCAAATCACAAAATACAAAAATGTATACAACAGTAAAAACAGTAATGACCACCATAATAGATATGATATGAAACATTTTGATCCATATAATGCATGTTTAAATTTTTACATGTGCTGTAGCAGAAATATTTCCATGTATTTTGTTATTGTTTTTATTTAATTTTCTCACTTTTGTTTGTGTCTAAAGCAACAAATTATTCCTAAACACAATATAAAGTCTAGCTCTTTTGACCTGAACGGCCACGAAGCAGCGTCTAATAATGATAAAACACATTTTGTGAGCTTCATCAAGATCCTTTATGTCTCGAGAAGATAAATTACCCTGAAGTAGACAAGTCTTTATGTGACTGAGCACCGTTTTCAGTGAAAGCAAGATTTCCATATGGCGTCTTTATATTTGAAGTCTGCAGAGAGTGGCAGCACAGCTCCAACAGAAGCTGTTGTGTTTGGGCTTTTCATTAACACCTAAAAAGGTGTCAGTAACAGTTTGCTTCAGCGGAGCTGCCTATAAACAAAAGAGCAGTCGAGACAAGGTCCAATTCCCCTTGATCTCATCTGTGAAATATCAGCTACATTTACTGAACAAATACATGAAAGAACTTTAGCATCCTGTTTTTCTAGGTCCACCAGAAAATAACTTTTCTTGTCACTTTTTATACACAACTTTATCTTATTTTGCTTTTATACATTTTTTTCTTATTGGTAATTAAAATGATTGATGATGATGATCAGTTTTTTTTAATTAACAATTAACCAAAAAAACTGGAACTAATGAGACGACCTAACTCGGCAATTCCCCTCAGCTCCATGGAGCTTTTTAGTGTCCATCAGCTCACTGTTTTGCATTTAGTCTTTTTTTACTTTGTTTCACTTTTACTGCTGAAAAGCTTGGAGCTAGAAAACACTGTGGAGCAGCTTAACAGCAAGAGATTTCTCTCAGGAGTTGGAAGAGACAAAAACAGGCTAGATATTGTGAAAACCAGGACAGCTGGGAGCAATAGAGGGGCCAGAGAGCTGCTCTAGGACTGTATGTTGTATAAGTAGATTGAAGTGTAGCCTTTATTATAAAGAACTGTTCGTAACGTCTGAGCTTCAAATGCTATGTTATATTACAACATTTTGGAATGCAAAATGTAAAGATTATTTTCTCTCATCTTACCCTTATCCAAGTAACAAAAAAATGCGCAACACTGTGTTTGCAAACGCAGCACGGCATAACGACTCACGTACCTGAGATGTCTGTATCGCTGTGAGATTCCTCTGGTTCTGACAGCCTTTTTTCCACCTGCCGAACTTCAGGCACATAAAAATCAACCTGCCGAGCCAAGGGGACGATGAACTGGATCTGGCCATCTTTGTAGATTTCAAGGAATGGATGTGCACAGAGCCTCCTTTCCTGAGGGATAAGTCAGTGAGCACAAAATCCAGTTAATGATTAACACGAAACATTGCATGTAGTCCCAATTAGTGTGGAAAAACACTAATTTGTGGATTTAGATGCCAAACTATTTACTTGATGGGTAAATTACTTCCAACTAAATAAATAAAGAAGGTAGCTTTATATAATCTCCAGTTTTTAGTTTGGCATAACGTTTTCTGCTTTCGGTATCAAAGTCGCACTCAATATCAGTATATTTATTTACGGAATACATATTTATATGTTTATATGTTTGAAGTTTTCTAAATTGCAGTATTTTATATGTTTCTTTATCACACTATTGATTAAAGAGAAAAGACAGAAGTAAACCCTATTCTTGTCATAATCAATTAACAATACAGTTTATGCTCATAAATGCAAGCATTACTGTGTATAGTTCTGACGTCTTTTTATTCGTCCATTTTCTTCCATTTCTCTGGATTTCTGGGGCAAGACATCCCCTGTCTTGGGAAAAATACAGGGTAAAAAATAAAAATAAAAGGTGCATTAACATCCACCATCCACTGGCAGAACCTGACTTTGTTGGCCAATGAGAACTGACAATGACATTAAGGTGTAGTGGTGTGTTAACGGGTTACAAACAGAAATGGGATTAACAGCAGCAGCTGATTTTGTAGGTTTACAGTTAAGGCTCAGGCTACACGACAAGAGACAACATCCATTCATTGATTTCTGCTTATCTGTGGTCAAATTAGGGCAAGAAGTCCAGCAGGGAAACAGATATCTCTTCCTCCAGTGACACTTTCCAATGGGATCTGAATGTGATCCCAGGCCAATGAGCTGACATAATACTAGGGGTGCACTGATAAATCGGCCGTCTGATTTATCGGCCCTGATTTCCTTAAGTTTGGGAAATTGGAGAGTGGCCGATACTTACATGAGAAACCGATTTTACAGATTTTTTTGTAGTTTTAACAACAATTGTCTAAACTTCATTTATATTTCAGAGCACTACCTCATGGCCAGTTAAAACAAGTTTGTATTGTTTCTAGGATATTGTTCAAGGGTATGTTTTTTTCAATAAAATAATATTGGAAAATTGAAGGTGCATTGTGACCTTATAACACCTGACAGTGTTGCTTATAAAACAAAATCGGTACCAGCCAAAATCGGAATCGGCAGGTCAGACTTTATAGAAATCGGTGATCGGTCAGAATACTGACAGGTAGGGGTGCACCGATTGCAGTATTCTGACCGATCTGACCGGTCGGTCAGTATTCTGACCGACCTGCCAGTTCTGGGTCTGCCCCAGTGTTTCCTCGCAGTAGAACATATTATGAAAATCTCCAGATGGAGGTGCCCAGGAGATATCCTAATCAAACACCTGAACCACCTCAACCTGCACCTTTTTATGTGCAGAAGCAACAGCTCTACTTAGAGCACCCTCAAAATGGTGAAGTTCTCACATCATCTCTAAGGGTGAGCCTGGCCACTTTATGTAGGGAGATCATTTCAGCCGCTTGTATTTGAGATCTCATTTTTTTAGACATAATCTGTATCTGACCGTAAGTAAGGGTTGGAACGTGGACGATCATTAAATCAAGATCTTTGCCTTTCACAGCAGCTCCTTTTTCACCATGACAGATTGGAGCAACCGTCTCATTACTAGGTATGAGGACTCAATCTGTTGATTCACCTTCCAGTCTATTCTTCTCACCACTGAACAAGACACCCAGATACTTGAACTCCTTCACTTGAAGCAAAGATTCACCCCAGAACCAAAGAGAGCAACGACTGACCAACTACAGCTATGTTCCAAACATTGGTTGAAAATGTAATGGAGTTTAATCTCATCCCAGTCACAACACTTGGCTGCCAACCACCCCAGTGCACCAGTGCACGTTGAAGGTCATGGCTTAAAAGGTACAAACAAAACTTTGCCATCTAGAAAAAGGAGAAATGGAATACTGTGGCTCCCAAACCACTTCTCCTGCTTTCCATGGCTGTACCTCGAGATCCTGCCACAAGCCGGATCAGAGACAAGGTGCAACTAAGGCAGAATCTAGCTCACACTTAGAATGAGCTTAACTTTATGCCAAGAACACAAACACAGGTCTTTCTTTGGTTGTATAGAGACCAGCTAATCATTAAAGCATCTATGGTACCCACACTGCTACAGCAACAGAAAGCCAAAGGGAACCAAGTTGAAAGCCTAAGATAAGGCAATATAAGACGTGGACTGGACAATCAAACCCCAATGACTCACCCTTAGCCACACCACTCGTCACACCTCATTTTGTATATTGCTTTGTGTGTTGCCTGTTTTTCTGTCTGTACAGCACTTTGGTTGGCCTTGTCGCTGTTTTAAGTGCTCTATAAATAAAACGGTATGGTATGGTATAATCTGAAGATTGAACAGAACGTTTAATTTTGTGTTTCTAAAGTACTAATAAATTTACTTATTAAAGCACAATTCCAAAGGATTATAAGTATAAGCATATTTTTTGTAACCATTTCTATTTTATTAGTCCCATTATAGTTCACTACCAAATCTATATAACAAATAAGCATAGCTGCCCTGAAGATCTAAAAGTAAACTAATCTTACATACTTTATGCGTCTCAGTGAAGGCTTTAGCCCATCAGAATAAAGTTCTGCTTGGTCCTGACTGAAAGTGTCTCACTTATGCAAGGTTTTAATTTCATGTGACACATTTATATTCCCTGGTGCAAGCTTAAGCGACATAAAATTTCTAATCTCTTGTACTGCTTCATGATCAAAATTCATCATGTCAAGTCAGGGCTCCACACCGCAGAATGAAGTTAAATGCACATGCACTCTCTCCAGCATGCTCTGGGTCAAGCCTCAGTCCTCCTGCTGGTGGGAAAACCTCAAAACACCTTGACTGGAAGGAAACCAGGCACGTCCTAGAGGACACACAACCTACAAGACATCTAAACTGGGTAAATAAACTTCTATGCCCTCAGAATTTGTGCAAAGTATAAAGAGCTGGTGTAATGTTTCACACCAAAAACAAAAACTGTTCTGTTCGTTGTGAATTTGAGGCTTCAGCGTCATAAGCTCCAGTGGGAAAAAAAAATGAAAGTACTTCCCTACTAAACTAGCAGTACTTCAATGCTATAATAATATAATATAATGTAATGAATATAATGTAAACAGTGTTGGCAAATGATTGCTTTCTCAGTTGACGTGTCCAGAAACTCTTGGAAAAGTCATGTTTCATAGTCTCACCTTATACATTTCAATTTAAATAATTTAATTAGAATATCATGTCAGGGCATTATTCTAAAAAGTAACAAGTCCATATCACATCAACACGGTTGCATGTTTCGTAATTCAGTTCAAAGAGTTTAATAAACAACAACGACCCTCAAACAAAGCTTCACAATCATAAAGACAAGTAACTTCTTAAAAAGGACACAAACAACAAAAGATGATCTCCCAATTATGCATTCAGTCAATTCTTAGTGTTTTTTTTATATGTGGAGACCCTTGCTGTCTCTGGCCTAATCTAAAGGGAAATCTTGTATTCCCTTCTCACTACTTAGAGCCCTGCAATCAATCGAAGCAAACTCCACATATCCCACTGCCTTTCTTTATATTAAATCTGCTGTCCTCCCTCTGTTCCTCACCTCCCTCCTCCTGATGAAGGAAGTGTCACATTCAGTCCTCCAGCTTCATGTACTATTCACACATCATATTCTGTTACCTTGTTCATGCACAGCCAAAACTATGTACAAGAACAAAATATTATCTTAGTGTTGACAAAAATCTCATCATTTACTGACAGACAAATTATTTTAGCTCAGATATTTAGAATAGCATAATTTATCATCTTCTCAAAGGTCAAGCTGAGGGTATAGATCTTCATGATTATTCATTTTTGACAGTCCCTGCGAGTGTAAGCTCCATGTTTCTAGTGAATGTTCCAGCTTCGAGCAAGGTGGGAGAACTGACATGTAGTCATAATTAAATGGGAGGCGTTTGCAGACGTCTGATAATCAGGCTCGTAGATTCAACGCAGACATGAAAAATAAGTTCTAGAGAGGAGACGGATGACTTCTTTTCAAAGTCTGTCCTATCATCTCTCTTACCATCTGTCTCAGCCTAATTATGACAGTAGTGGCATCCCTCTGGCTGCTGTCTGCAGGAACAATGCTGTCAGTCTCAGACATTTCAACAGTATAAATTATTGGTGCCTTTTTTTTCTTCAGAAACATCTGGCTGTCCTTGTTGGCTTGAGTCATCAAAGAGTCAGATGAATATATTGAGAAATATTGATGTGTGTAACATGCACACGTATTCAGACCCCATCATTGAATGGTTAAAAGTTTTTTTTAAAAGCACTTACTTTCACTGTGTTACTTTATTTATTATTTTAACCATTGCTGTGTAACATGACATATGTCTTAGCTATGTAATATGTCTATTTTGGTCAAAATGGTCAATGGAGAAGGATAGAAGAGAAAACTTACAAAAGCAAAAATGATACAGCAAGTTAACATCTGAAGAGTTCACACGTCTTATTTACCAAGGAAGCAAAAACAGACGTGGTTCTAAAGCAATTATATATGTCCATAAGAAAATTAATGAAACAAAATAAATATAACAATGAAGTACTAGATTTTTTTTATTTTTTTTATTTAGTTCATTCAAATCTGGGATTACGCTAAGGTATGTTTAGGAGGGATTGAGTGGTTGATCTATTTTTCACATACGTCTAATTTAACTGAGACATTAGACAGTGATGAAAGCAAACACCCAGAGGAAATGATGCAGAAAACCACCACTTCCTGCAGGCTGCATATAGGCAGACTTGAGAAATCTATTAAAATAAGCATGACTGCCTAAAAAAATAATTTTTACAGTTTGAAAGTTTAAGTAAAAAGACGCCGTACAGCTGAGACTACACTTCTTGATCTATCCCCGAATGTTTCCAAGATAGAACTGTTCTACCTTGAGTTTGCAAAACCTTCAGAGTTTGCCCAGAACTTTTA